ACCACAAGGTTCACTTAAACAGGTCTCTTTCCTGAAGTGCAATGGAGGGGAAACAAAAGCACCAAACAGTGCACATCCCCCCAGAGTAGCTGCTGCTTGGTTTGCCCTGAGAGATCGCCTTTTTTTCTACCCTCACCTCATTTTTTTTAACTTTAGGGGCAGCGTATACAGGCAAAGTCCAAGAGGTACACATTTTTACCCCCTGTTGCATATCTTGGCACCCCGAAATGTTCCTCTCTGCCCCCTTTTCCAGCCAAAACACATGCCGGCAGTCTAAAACCTTGGGGCTCCTGAAGTGGCGTCGGCGGGTCTCCCTGATGATAGGCAGTCAGTTGCAGCACTGCCTCCTCCAGCCCAGGGACAGTCTCCTCCAGCTGAGCGCCCTTGCAAATGGGCTGCTCCAGGAGCCCCGAGGCCTCACAACTGACCATCTCCTATATTCTGGGTGCAACCACTTTCAGCCGAGCACCATACGCAGATGGGCTGCTCTCTGAGTTCCAAGGCCTCCAGTTGTGCCCAGGCTGAAGGAGGCAGTCAGTTGCGAGCCCTTGGAGCTCCCAAAGTTGCCCATGTGTGGAGGGCGTTCGGCTGGAGGAGTCTGCGCCCTGGCTGGAAAAGACGGTGCCACAACTGACTGACCGTCACCAGGGAGACACTCTGGTGCTGCCAGATGTTTCCCAGCCCAGGTGAGTCATGCTTGGGCGGGTGGGGGCATTGTGAGGCTTTGGACCAGGAGTGAGTGAGCATGGCCACCTCACTGAGAAAAGTGCTTGCCTCTGTTGGGTCCATTGCCTCCAAAGAGGTCCTGGGCTGGGGATTCTGGGTGGGACTGCCTGAAAGGCTGTTTCCTTCCTCCCCTCTGATCAGCCTCCTGCATCTGTCTCATGGCATGCAAGTGGGCCCATCTGGTTTGCTTCTCAGCCCCCACAGACCCCCTAGGTAAGCAGGTGACCACCGGGAGTGTGGAAGCACTGAGCGGGGGCAGAAAGCTGCTGCCATCTTCACACATGCAAGTCCAAGGCATGCACATGCGCAAAGATGGCAGTGATGACAGTTCTTTATTCTTGCCGGCCGACTGGAGATGAAAAGTGCTTTATTCATTCATGCTGGTAATCTGGAGGGCAGGGGGAACTGGCCACTGCCTCCTAGCTTAGGAGCCAGCTGGGGGCGAGCCAGGAAGGGGCAATGGCAATGGTGGAGTCTGGTACTCAGGGAGGACAAGGTTAGCAGGCTCCCAGCCATGCCCTGTGTTGCCTCTGCTGGCTCAGGGGAGTGGATTCAACTGCATGCCAGATGAGCTGAGGCTGCAGAGAGCCTACCCTGCATGTTGCAGAGGGGGGGCAGCCTTTGCCTGCCATTTACGGGTGCCCAGCTTAGTGGGCTGCCCCCATGCCTATCGTGGCTATGGGAGACACTGGCCAGCACAGAGGCACAAGTAAAGGCTGTCTCCCCCCCCTCTGCAACATGCAGGAGCTTTTCACACTTCCTTGGCTCATCTGGGCTGCAGCTGATCCAGCTGCACTGAGCTGGCAGATGGAAGTATCGTAGCTTGCTGGGCTGCAACAGCAACGGCTTCAGGAGATGCTGGCCAGTGGGAGGGGGGGGGCTAGGCTAGCATGAATGCTGCTTGTCTGTGTGTATGAAGTAGGAGGCAGTTGTGTGATTGCACATGACAAAGGTGAGGCAGGGCAAGTATCTGAGTATACCGGTTCAGGGGCATGGCCAGCCAGCCAACATTATCGGTTCAATGACCCACACCCAATTACCACTACTGGTTCTCCCCAACTGATCTGAACCAGGAGCAATCCACCTGATGTCTGAGATCTTGGAGAACAGGCTGAATACCTCCAAAGCAATTGTTGAGTAAAAGAGATATAGAGAGACCAAGAAGATAAATGGAAACTTATCATTATGGTGGTGACCCAGAAAGAGGACCAATGCAAGGAAGTTGGATCCACTTTGAGAAGGAAGGAGTGAACTGCACAAACATCATTTCTAAGTACTGGATTACACTTATCTTGTTGCTTTCCCCTGCTAACAGAAAAACCTGTATCAGTATGCAAGTTAAAAGACAAGTGACAGGGAGGTAAAGAGGATTCAGTGAAGGAGTGTGTGAAGGATGCATTCTTGGGTGATGACAGATGCCACATGCCTTGAGGAAGTGTGTTCTATTCTTTCAGAAGTATAGCTTGATCCAAAAATATTACAAAATTATTAATGTATCTGCAACATTTCTGGCTACAGTATAAAGTGTTCTGGAATAAATAAATTACATGGAACTATTTTAATATAGCTTTAGGTCTATGAGTGGAACTGAGATACATTAGTCATATTTAGAGTTGATTTTTGGTAAGACCATTATGGGGAGTTGCAATCCTGTTGATTTCTAAGCGGCTTTTAATAACCATCAACCATTGCATCTTTCTGGATCATATCCAAAGACTGAGAATAAGGAACACTCTATTGCCATCCAGGAGGATGTATTGGAATTAGGATTCTTGTAGGGTCTGATATTCTTCTCACTTTTATTTAGCATCTAGCTGAAACTGGTTGAGAATGTAACCTAATGGCAAAGAGTTAAGTATCACCAGTGAGAGATACACAACTTTACATCTCAGCCACTGAAAGGTTATTGATTTGAGCTTCCACTCCTTCAATTTCAATACTCAAAACCACATTGGCAGAACTTTGCTAACAGCCCATCAAACATGCAGACACAAATTGTTAAAAGGTCATTATGATACACTTGGTTTTTCCTACATGTTAAACTGGTGGCTTTTAGAAAGTAGATTTGTAAATCCATTTTATTTTTTATTATAGGTATACACATATGTACCATTTCATTGGATTTCAGAAAATGAATATGATGAAAGATGCAAAATAATATGGGGAGAAACTGGATCCTGGTCACCGTTTCCATGTCATGGGTTATTGAATTGGATTTGTCAAATTACAAGAGGTAGTATTCTTTGCATTCTCAAGTAATTTATTAGTATATTTCTCAACTGTAAAACTTCTTTAAGACTCTCAAATTCCTCACCCAAAATAAAGACACACCATCATATGAACTGTAAAACTTCATATGAAGTTCTCTTTTTACAATACAATACAATACAATACAATACAATACAATACAATACAATACAATACAATACAATACAATACAATACAATACAATAGCAGAGTTGGATGGGGCCTTGGAGGTCTTCTAGTCCAACCCCCTGCCTAGGCAGGAAACCGTTTCAGAAAAATGGCTATCCAACATCTTCTTAAAGACTTCCAGTGTTCTTTTGGGGGAGGAATCTGAGAGTTGAAAATACAATTCCCTTTTAAGTCTACAGATTTTAAATTTCTATTTACTGTATGACTAATTAAATAACATGGTACAATTTCAAATATAAATATCTGCATAAATTTACACCAAAGAAGACATTATTGATGCCAACAGGTTTTTTTTCCATAATGATAATCACAACCATCTTCTAAATAATTCATGAAACTTGTATGCTGCCTTGGGGCTCACAACAATCAAACAGAGATTTGAATAAAAGAGTAAAGCTAAAATATGGCAAGGACAATGGAGTGAGGATTTTTTTTTGCCAAAGACTGAATAAAGAGCCAGGTCTTCATGGATCTCTTAAACAATAAGTGGTGGCCATTTGCAGGTTAGAGGAACCGGGATCCAGTTTTCTTTGGTTTTATTTACTTATAAATATAGAAATACATTAAACCAATACAACAGTTCAGTTTTTGAAAATTGCCTTTTGCAACATGAAGAATTCTGATAAGGTTAGGCTTGGATTCCTTATAATTAAAATATTTAATTTTGCACTGCAGGTACACCCTTGAATCCAGAAACAAGCGACAACTTCGGTATGTTGAACAATTTAATGTCAAAAATGTTGTATGCAATAGTTTGATTTGAATCAGACTGCTTTGAGCTAAATTTGGCTGTATGACATAAAGGAGCATTCCTAAAATGTGATGTGTAATGGTTGAGTTTGTAAGCAAACCAATTTCTCAAAGCACTGAAGAAAGCCAGACATTGACTCTGCATAGTGTAAAACTACAGACATTGTGATTTTTCTTAAGTGAAAGGAAGTCACATAAGGTGTCATAGTTCTCATCACAGACATTAATTAAGTAGAGGCTTCCCAAGCATAGGTAGAAATATAACCAAAGAGGAGTTACTAAAATTTAGGGTACTTTTCATATCCATAAGAAATCATTGGACATGTTTAAAAAACATCCCCAAATATGCAAAGCTTTGATGAAGTGGTTGTATTTGATAGTGATTTAATTGAATCTAGCAAATTAAGCAGTTGCCTAAGGCAACAACCCATTTCTCTCTCCAGCTAGTTCTGAAAGCAAATTAAAATGGCCTCCTCCTTGCTTCGCTTTACACTGCTTTGTCCTATGTCTCATCCCAGCATATCTAATACCCAGAAGATATTTTTGGATATTCCGTAATATTTGCGTAAAAGCCTCTTCCAATTATTGGAAGCACACAGTTGAAGTCAGTTTGCCAGCTATAATGTGGATGTGTCTTTTGGATGTGCTTATTCATATTCAGAAGATCTTGGAAGGAAGAGCTTTGCTCCAAAGGACAGCACGTAATTTTCAAGTAGCTCTGTTTGCTTTGTATTCTTGTGGCATGCATGCAAAGGGATTCTAGACATATAAATCGTTTCTTCTATGTCTTCTTTTGCAGAAAATTCTTTTACAAGAATTGAAGATGGCTGGATTGAATATGGAAACAATGAATATTATTTCAGTAATACAACAATGCCTGCAGAAAAAGCCAGGAAGTTCTGCAAACAACATGGTGGCGATCTTACCATCATTGAGAGTAAAGAAGAAAAAATATTTTTGTGGAAATATGTAAGAAATATAGGCAATAATTATCCATGCAAAGTAACAAGTATATATAAAGTATATATGTGGGTACAGGGATGGGATTGAAATTTTTTAGCAAACTGGTTTGCTGCNGTTACGAAAATTATAGAAGGGGTACACATATGTCAAAAGTTTGGGAAACACTGGTATAGATAGAAAAGACTCCCTTTTTGTGTGATGACTGGCCATATATATTTAATAAATGAATAAACCAAGTCTAGAGCAAGAATTATGATTGTGAAGAGCTTATAAAAAACCCTTATTAGGGCAAAAAGTAATTTGAAACATTTGAGCTCAGAGTATGATCTAAACATCAAAACGCACTAACTAAACTGGGTGGTTGAAGTGCAAAGTTGCTCTCAAAAGCCTCTAGGACAGTTTTTCTTTCTATTTTTTTCTCATATTGCCAATGGTATAAGAGTTTCACTGGAATAATATTGTATGTAGTTTCAAAGTTAACTCCCTCCGGCCCAACTATCCTGCATCTGTGTACACTAAGCTTCTGTTTGCGCAAGTTTTTAGTTTGTCTTAGGCAAAGGAGGCAGAATGTGTAGCTTAGGAGCATCCCATCTGAAATCTTCTATAGGATTTTCAAAGGCAACAGGCATACCTTAAAATGTAAAGTAAGAGGTTCTTGAGACCAATCCTTTAGGGTGTATAACTCAGATCTTTTCTGTCTTTTAAATAAGAAAAGTCTGCTGTGCTTTCTCCTCATCAATAGAGGGTGATATAATGCCAAAAGGAATTCAATCTTACTCCTGTCTCTCTACTTATGAATGAAAAAATATGCCATTGGATATTATGTTTTGGAGAATTTTACTATTGCCAACACTCCTTTAAAGAAAAAAATATCTAGTAAAATGAAATTTAAAAATAAAAAAATCTATAGAATTAAAAAATATAAATATATAAAATTAAAATAAGTATGGAGAAAAAGGACCCTGCCAGGTTTAGAATGCCTGATACATGGTTTAGTGGTTTATTCGACTTGTATGCCACCCTATTCCCAAAGGGACTCAATACATAAAGCTAGTTACATCCTTCAAATTCACAGAAGTGATTTGATTCTCATGGCTGCTTAGCTTTGATGTATGCAATGAGCCGTGCACAGTATCCCAAAGGGCAAAGCTTGGTGACACAAGCAAAGAACTAATTTCCCATCTTAGGCCCTAGAAGGTCCAGTGTGGCATCTTTGAAGGCTTCTCCAGTTTGTCTCCATGATTGTAGTTGTGCAGATATCCCTCTTGAAGGGTTTGCCAAAGAAACATAGTGGCTCTGAATGGGACTTTTGGGAAGAGATGGGTATCTAAAGGGTTCCTTTACATAAAATGGCATGTTCTGCACAATCCGTTATTTTCATGAAGTACCCCGACTATAAAGATTCATTAAAGACAGCTGTTAGAAACTTCCTTTTCCCCCTTCCAGTTCTATACTATAGGCAGTGGCAGCATCTTCCTTTGATGATGGAGGCTTAAATGCTTCTATTGAATATGCTTTAGGATGCTTCTGTGCTAGACGCTATAGGACATTATGACAAATGACAGATACTCTGATGGGGATCATCTTATATAGTTACCAAGAACAAAAAAAGCACACACAATTATTTTCTCTTTTGAGATTGTAAAGGAGGGGTTTCAGAAAGATTGTTCCAATCATGATACCAGTGACTGCATTTGGCTTTCTTGCTATGCATAAATATTGTAGGGTCGTTGTGTTTTTATGCTGAGAAAGCCTGAAAGGTTTGCAGGACATTGGAGAGTTGGATCCTGTTCTTCTAAGCGGAGCTACATCTGCCAAAAAAACACTGGTAAGTTTATAGAAGTCTTGGAAAATAAATCAGTTTCAGAAATTTGTAGGATCCAGATGTGGTGTCTGGTTGGATGTGGCTTCCTATTGGTTTATTGGTATGTTGATGCCAGCTGTTGACTGTGGTTTCCTTGTGCTGCCACATGCTTGGCTCCAATGGACCTAATAAGGTGGTGGTAAATCAGCATTCCTGTTGACTGACAAGGGACCCATTTCCCAGCTTCAATCATTTCCCTGACTATCTTTTTATCTGCTTGGCCAACAATCTTAGTAGCTGAAAAATTAAATGTCCTTGTCCAGGGATGAGGCTACCATGAGTTCAGATCTCCTCATCTGACCTCTTGCTTGTGTTCTTGCAATTAGCTTCCTCTTCATCTGTCCTACATAGTCACAGGGGTAAGCCATGCATGGAATCCAGTAGATTACATTAGAAGTGTCTCCCATCTATTTGGAAAGCATGATTTCTCTTTGTATCAGGGCAGTGTGTGATGCCCATTCTAAATCTTGTAAACTACAGTTCTACATCTTCCAAATATTTTTGATGCATGGAAGGATGCCCATGTGCAGTAGTTGGTCTTATACCTTCTTTCTTCATTTCTCTTTCTTGCATATTATGCAGGCGTCTTGTAAAAAATATCTGTCAATATTGTTCTCGCTGAAATTAAATTAAACATTTAATTTAGATTATCTTCTACAGATTAATATCAGAATTCAAAAAAAGCAATTAGTGATCTTTGATATTGATGATTAGAAGGTATAGATTCTAGAAAGAAGAGTAATATGATGCATCTTGAAAAAGACAGAGAAGTTAAACATACTATATATGTTTGTAGTTATAACTTCTGTTCTAATTATTGGAAGCCATTTGTTTATATATTTTCTTTCTTTTCTTCCTATTTTTATTCAACTATTTTTCATTTCTTGAACTTTTTATTACTTTCCTTTTATTTTTTTCTCTCCCTTATTTTATATTACGTTGTACTAGTTTTTAGCTTTTTAAAAAGCTTTAATACAAATTATATACATAAAAAGAAAAAGCTGGGGGGATGGGACACAAACATGTTTGAGCCAAGTAAGATGGCAATATGTCAGATATGCTAACCAAGAAAATACATTGTAAAAAAATGTATAGAAATTGTAAACTTAAATCACAGAATCATCAACTTCAGGAAGTATTTCAATAAAGTGAACTAACAAACATAATCGTGATACCAACTATCTGAAGCCCAATGTAAAGGCTTTTAGTAGCATTGAATCAGTTATTTGGCCAAATGGCCTAAACTATTTCCAAAAAAGCACTCTCCTTCTCTTGTACTAGAGATTTAATGAAACAAGAAGTCAATAAAATTGTTTTTAAAACTAATATTTAGACTGAAAGTTATAGCCTGAATAATTAAGTTTATATCTGTACTGGTGTTCAGAGGATATCTTTAGTCCATGAATTCACATATTTGAACTAATTAAACATATATGTTTAATGTTATGCTTCAAGAAGTTCTCCTTAAAGTAACTCACTCTATTTGTTTAATGTGCTTTTGATTTTTTAGTATTAAATGTTCCCATAGTATGGAACTGAGAGAATATTTTAAGAAAAGATAGAAATTAAATATTAAGGGTTTTCAAAATTTAAAAAAAAAAAAAGCAGAACTGTGTGAGATCCTGATTTTCTTTTTAAAAAAATAGGTCCTGAACCTTACTCTGAACCAACAGTTCCAGCATCTCACTATATCAGTTATGGAAATAGCAGCTATTCTATGGTTAGTNTCTCACCGGCTCAGGGTTGACTCAGCCTTCCATCCTTCCGAGGTGGGTAAAATGAGGACCCAGACTGTGGGGACGATATGCTGACTCTGTAAACCTCTTAGAGAGGGCTGAAAGCTCTATGAAGCGGTATATAAGTCTGACTGCTATTGCTATTGCTATTGCTATTGCATCATATATTCACAGAAAATACCAATTTGCAATACTCATAAACCCACAATAGTCTTGCCAATGGTGAAGTTATTCCAAAATAACTACATAGATAGTCACCTATCTCTTCTTTGGGACCATGTTTTGGAATTTTTGACATTCAGGCTACAAAAATACAGCAGTCCACACTAACCTCCCACAATTGGGATGAGCAGTTCCATTGCTAAGTGACACAGTCATAAAATGAAAGACATATGACCGTGCCTACTTACCATGGCAATTTCATCTGTGTTCACCTGCAGTCATTAAACACAATGTCATGTGACCATAACTTGCAGCTATCTGTCGCCTTTCCCGTTAAGTTTGCTTGTTGAATATTGGCTTTGAAGGTCATAAATGACAATCATTTATGTCATAAATGACAATCATGGAACACTGCAATAGTCTTAAAGATGAGCCAACTGCCCTGTCCCTGAATCACAGTCATGTGACTGTAGAGATGTGGCAATGTCTGCAACTTTGAAGTTTAGGCCTAACTCTTCTTTTTCAGTGCCATTATAATTTTTGATGGTTACTGAATGAGTGGTCAGTAAGTGAGGACTACTTTTACACTTTCACAAATACTGTAGGATTTCAGTAGTACTATTGCACTTTGTATTATTCTCGTCCTCATTATTTCGGTTGCAACACATATATGATCCGTTGCTATTTATTCTAAGAATAAATTAATTTTGGCAATATAACCTCTTTCACCAGGTTTATGGCACGATATAAACTGTGGTCATGAGAAAAGCTTCATCTGCGAGAGACACAATAACTCTATCCGGACAACTGCAGCACCCACATTACCCTCAACACCAAAAGGGTGCAGTGAAGGCTGGCTTTGGTTTAATGAAAAGGTAATTGATATAGCAATTGGAAAAAAATATTGAGGTAGCATCAGTGTTCAGACATCCTGTGGCAATCTCCATGCTAATACATAGTGATTGCCATAGGTAGCCAGTGGTCTTTTTAGACCTCTCAATGAACACAGGTAATTCAGNAAGCCAGGAAGTTCTGCAAACAACATGGTGGCGATCTTACCATCATTGAGAGTAAAGAAGAAAAAATATTTTTGTGGAAATATGTAAGAAATATAGGCAATAATTATCCATGCAAAGTAACAAGTATATATAAAGTATATATGTGGGTACAGGGATGGGATTGAAATTTTTTAGCAAACTGGTTTGCTGCCTGGTTGCTGTGTGGGCGAGACCATGGAGGCGTGGCCTACTTGGCCTCCTGCACCACAGAGGGGGTGTGTGTTTTTGCCCACCTCAGGCTCTGGAGGCTTTCCTGGAGCCTCCAGGACAGCGAAAACCGCCTCCCCGGCCTCCAAAGGCCCTCTGGAGGCAAGAAATGGGCCCATTTCCAGACTTCCAGTAGGCCTAATTTTTGCCCACGCCGGAACTTTAAAAATATATTTCTCACTCAGCTTTTGTTAGTCACTACTAACATCGTCAGAGTGTAAAAGTAATTAAAGAGATAACTGCCTTATACAATGTTAATCGATTTAAATATTTTTAAGAGTTCCGGAGATCATAATGGCTGTTCCTTTTATAACTAACTACACCTGGAACATTTTTAGGACAATTCACAATGTGTGCGTGTACGTGTGTGTAATCCCTGAGTGTGTGTGCATATCTCTTTCTCTCATAAATTAAGAACCAAAAGTTTTTAAAAAATTCTTTTCTATGTTTTGTGTTGCATTATTGTATATCTACTATACAACATGCTGACCATTAAATTAATATTACTGGAAATTTAGTATGGCCAACTTAATTGGAAACCAATTATTTAAAGACACAATAAGTTAATGTTTTTTTCTCACATGAATTTTTAAAGAACACCATATTGTTAAAAAGTAGAGCATATTTCAAAGTTATGTCATTGTTTTTGTGTTTGTTGTTTCTATTCAACATGATTTCCAAATAATATTTTAATTGTACATTATGTGTGATAAAAAACAAACATACTAGGAAAGAGTCTATCCTTTATTGGATTATTGGTTGTGAGTTTTTATAGAATAACTGAATCAGATTATTGGTACACTATCTCATTACTTTATATTAAAGCTGTACATAACTATTTTTATTCCCAATTCTTTCTTTTACATTTTAGGCTGTCACCTATGGAATTCATTCTAATTCCTATATTGGTTTAATTTTGAGTTTTGACAAAAAATTCGGGTAGGTGAATGCATTAAACTAATTGACAAATTCTGCACCATGTAATGGAATTCTGTTTTTAAATTATTTTTGATGATAAATTGGAATAAATATAAATAAGACAGCCAATTTTGCTGGAAAAAAGATTTTGGCAGGTTTTTGTTTAACAAGATTTACTGAAATGGAAAACAACTCTATTTTTAATGCTTTCACTTTGGAACCAATTTACTTCTCAGTTTCTTAAGATACACACTTCTTCAGTTTTTACTAGTAGCCACCTAGCAAAGAAGCGGTTCATCAAGGAATGTGCAGGTAGGCAGGCTGTGAATCTCTCCCAAGATACCATTAGAGATTTTATAATAAAAAAATCCAAGCACTCTGTATAACAATGGGTGTTGTCATGTGGCATTTCAACCTTTCATGTGGCATTTCAAATGGTAGCATAAACTATGCAGAAAAAAACACTTTTCTTTAAATTGTAATTATTTGCATCTAAACTAATCATAGTGAATTCCCAATCTTTCCCAATCTCCCTGCATTCATACACTTGCTCTCCATGCCTCTGTGATGCAGACATGAAGCTATGCATGCATACATACATGTTGTGCTCTCTTTTCCTGGCCTTTCTATGCTTGTGCATGCATCCCAGCCCACTTTCCCTAGACTCCCTGAGTTCATGCCAGCCAACCAGCCCAACTCAAGTGCTCCACCAGCCCAACTCAAGCATGTCCTCCAAGGGCCTCCCCAACTCCCCTGCTGTATTCTCATGCTCCTAACTTGTGACTGCCTGTTTTCTGCTTAATAACTCATCTATTTTAGGATTATGATCACAACTGGGACCACCTGGATTGCCATTGCTAAGCGATTAAATCACAGGATGTTACACTTTACAGCTTAGTGACAGCAATGACCATTCCAATTGCCTCATAACTCAACTATCTGTAATTTCTCAATAGTTGTAAGTGTGCTATACCATTTTGCTTTGCTTGGCTTTTATTTTTTGTTCTTTTATTTTGTTTTACGTTGTTTGTATAGCCCATTTAGTGGAGTTATAATGTCTTTAAAGAATAAAGAGATTGAATAATGGAAGATTGCAAAACATTTCAAATTCAAAGTGTCCTAGCCTTGGAACAGCCTTTCTTGAGCTTCCAGCAGTTGTTTTGAGCTCAGCATCATAGATGACTGTCTAACATTTTTTCTTCAGCTGGATGGATGGAACTTCAGTGACATATGAAGCCTGGTCCCCCGGTGAACCCAACTTTGACAATGAAGATGAACACTGTGTAATTATGCATTATAAAACAGGCAAGTAAAATAAACTTTAGGTTTTCAGAAGTTATCTGTATGTTCATGTTCAGGATAAGGCAAATTAAACAGCATTGTTTAATTTGGGCTAATTGGCACACATTATTATAGATTCCATCATTATACATTATTTTGTTACTTTAATTAACTTGTTTTACATTATGATGTAAATATTTACATTGGCTTAAAGTGTTACAACATATCATTTTCTAAGCAAGCATATAAGCAGATTATTTTCAAATCAAGGATTTAAGGTTTCATCCATACATTACATAGCTTAATTACTGCAATTACTGCAATTATTTAATTGAGCGAGGTGGCGCAGTGGGTAGAGTGCAGTACTGCAGGCCACTTCAGCTGACTGCTATCTGCAGT